ATACAGATATCAAAACAGAAAATATACTATCCTGTTTCCCATTAAGCATAATTCTAGTAGCATTTTACATAGGACCTTTAAACTATTAGAGGACGTATTGGATCAAAAAAACCTTTGACAGTTGTACAAAAAACTACTAATTCCCATATGCGCCAATATGGATAAAAAACTTTTAAATGACTGTCTCACCTGTCAATTCAAAGAACTTTTTTCACAGCAAAGACAAATTTTTTAAAAAAACAAGACTTTAAAATACAAAGTTAAAATTTATTCAATCATTCGATACAAAAGGCTCTATTACTCCCTCTTCTGAAGGAAATTCATACATCATGGTATTAATGGACGCATTTACACTTTATGTAGCACGAAAAAACGAGTACCACATTTTAGCGCAATAGTTGTCTTTATTAACGAAATTTTCACATTAAGTCAATGATATAACATTAAAGATAAACACAGAACCTGACCAATGGACTAATGGACTAGTCGGAGGCATAGACCGCTCTCAAAATTTTTACGAGTTATAATTAACAAAATGATAAAAAATACTCTGAAAGGGCAAAAGATCTGAAATCATTCCCACTCGCATATAGTTCTTAAAAAATCACACCTTTTGCATTGTCTTCCTATGAAATGGTTTTTAATCAAAAGCTGCGAAAACCAATATTGTTTACAGGCATTGAAAATTAAACAAGGACAATGCCAACATTCAAAGACTTTATTTGTTATAGTTTACCTCTTTCATCATCAACAAATTTTGAACTGAGCTTCCGGTACCCACATAATGGATTCTAAATAGCAATAAAAACTCAACCAAGTCAACCAAAAAATAGCAAAAAGGATGTTACAAAGACAAAATTTTAAATTTCAAATCAATTCATGTTTTACACCCGCTTCAGATCTAAAAAAAGAACCTTTGTTTCTCTCCCAAATTTCACAAAACACAAAGTCATATCGAAAAATCGAAAAAATTACAATCTTCAAAATCAGGACATTATTGATTTATTATCAAACCGACAGACTTAACAAATTGACCTAAATAAAAAAGAACTTGCAACAAAGAAATAGCCTTTTACCTTATCACCCCATACGCACTCCGAGAACTTACACAGTTATATTCTTTGACTGGACTCCAAATTGTCAAAACAACATCAAAAAAATCAATGATCACAAAATACCTGAAAACTCAAAAAATTTTGATTATGTACATTTCTGTCTACTCTAAATACAGCTGGTTTCTCTCACTTTTGAATAGCCATTGTTTTTATGGATAATTTTCGTTTCCAGACAAAAATTTAAGTGAACTTTGATAAACACATTTCCCAATTTCATACAAGGTTTTGATTTTTCCATGTTCGGGCTTGGTTTTTATTTTTACAGGATTAAAAGGTTCGAGGTGGTTAAGATATAGTTTTTTGTCAATAATTGCCTGATCAATTGGATCCAAATGATTTAGAGTCTCCGAAATTAGCCTTCGTTGGAGGTCGCAGTTCTCATGTTAAAAATGAATAGGTCTCTTATCCCATCATGATCTATGTTTTTTCCGATTTCGCACTCTTGCTAAATCCGATAATGCCCCACCAAATTGGTCGTAAGACTCTCCATCTTTTTGTTTCCTACTCGTCAGTTTGTTTTGTTCGAAGGTGATATTAGCTGGTTTCACGAATGCCGATTCTAGTAGACCGAAAAATTCTATAAAAGAGACCGATAAGTCTTTCACCCCAGAGTGTTTATGTGAGACGACTCTTTTTCCCTCAGCTCTTCAGGCTAAATATAAAATTTATCACACTTCTTTGTCTGTTTCAATTTTTGTCATGCCAATTCTTGGTTTCTGGCCTCCCTCTCTTTTCTCTGTGTTTTATTTTCTGAATCTTCGGCGCCTTCTAGACTTGGTATTTCTGAATTGTTATTTCTGTTTCAAATTGTCAATATCTACGTTCTCTTTGGCAAAAACTGCCCCCTGGAAATGATCTATCTAATTCGCCCATTAAGTGGGGGAGGAGGAGGGGGTTTCTACTGCATGATTTGGCCGAAAGGCAGTTTTCCCGCAGTTTTGAATCAGTTGACTGCGTCATAATAAATAGAGTTCAAATGCCACTGGTATACTTAAGATTAACTAAATTGAAGTTAAAAGAATGAAATAGAATAAATTGAATTGAAGCTGTCTTTTCTCAATAGAAAAAGAAAAGTGCCGCGAAGTCCAATGGACTTCGAATAGACACGAACTAACAAGTATCTAATTAAGAGATAATGGTCAAATTAAGAGAAATAAAACACAAATCACAACAGTTTTTATGGAGTACAATTTTTTTGGTTTCGTGTGATTTGCAAAAAATTTCTATATGCAGGTTTAGCTAGACTGCATAGACCTCTATGAACCCCCAAAAAATTCGCCCCGCCCCAAAAAAATATGCACTTGAGGAGAGCATGGAAGTGCTAATTTTAATCTTCTCTCAAATAAAATGTATGACAAGTTGTTTTCAATGCACTTGTAAAGTAAAATAAAGGATCAACATTAAGCTACATCAAATTAAATTAACCTATAAAAATAAACTTTCTCGAAAACAAAACTGGACTTGTGATCGAATGAAATTTCCCCAGTGTTCTCATGCGTAATAATGCTCAACTAAACATATAAACCATCATTCGACACAGAAAATAAATACTTTAAGAAATTGTTCTCAGGCTAGTATACCAGTAGTGCTCGTTTTAAAACCGCTTTTACAACCACTAAACATTAGCCTGAGAGATAGTCATGAAACCTTCTGGTCCGTTTTCAGACTTTCCATTAGAACAGAAGCTGATCTACGGACCATAAATTGTTTTTTTTTTGGCACACCCCAATTAAAATTACTATACATAGTGGCGCTAAAACAGGCACTCTTAGAAAACTTTTAGGGCTTGTCTACCAAAAATGATGTCGTGTGCTAATACCAGAAGGGGAGCTTGGGTGGGCAAGGGGTCGAGCCCTTGAGAAGGGAGGTAGGCGTCCGCCTCAATCCGCTTCTGATTAGACATCATTTCTAAATCAGAGAAACAAGCAGCTGCAACCAATGAAAAAATTGTGAGAATAGTTAAACCAAAACTTATACTAAACTGCTCATCAAATGGGCACACTGCATTTTAAAACATATTCAAACTATCTTTTTGATTTACTTAAATGTTTCCACAGAGCCGTTTTGCTGAGAATTAAAGATTAAAATTTTTGATAATAATTGCTATTGAAATGTTGAAATGTTCATCTTAATCTCCATTACAGAGGATCCTCTCTTATCTCTGGCTCATCATCAATTTCGGCATCCGTGGAACCCGGAATTCTGAAGGAAGAGTGACCACCGTACTCGGCCAAAATCAATTTTCGAAGCTGAATCTGAACTTTTTCCGCCTGCAAATTTTCGGCATTTCCAGTGGGCATTCGATTTATGTTTATCCGTTCGACATTCAAGTTTTTCGAAGCTACAGTTGCAAAGATTCGATTTTGATGAGTTGATGCTACGGGCTAAATTTAAGCAGATATACTCTGCCGTACTTTTTGTTATTTTCAGCTTGCTATTTTATGATGAAATTCTTGTCAGTAAATCATTTTCCCTAATTTTTAAGACCAACTTGGTTTCTAATTTCTTAAAAAAGTTATATGCTGCACCCGAATTGTGAGCTACATTGAGGAAGTAACAAATTTTTCATTCAATATTTCCTTAAACTTTTACACTTTTCGAATCTTACTCCTACCTAAGGTTTGTACTTGTTTTGTAGGCATTTTTTGTAATAGATTATTTTGAGTATTTTGTATCTAGTATATCGCTTTTCCTCAATGTCACCCTTGGATGATTGTCTGTTCGGTTGCTGTCTGCTATTCGCACTATTGCCCATTGCAGCATTATTTCGGTAAATTCTTCTTGGGTGCTAAGAAGTCGAGACAACAGGCACTTGAGTATACGGGAATATGAAAAAAAAATCACATTTTTTAACTCTTTAAAAAAGCAATTAAATGGATGTCATAAATAAGTACTGAATAAAAAGTAAGATTCCTCCGCCCCCCCCCCCCCCACCCCTCAAATCCGCTACAGTGGAACTGGCTATCCTTTGGCACAAGCAGGGGTAAAATGCACACCGATTAGTGTTTTCCACTTCAACAGATTTTTTTCGTAACAATTAAATTAAAAATTTCAAATAACTGTTTTACTCTATTCTTTTTTTAACTTTACACTCAATTACCTGTCTTCTCAAATCCTGTCTTCTCAAATATTTTGCTCTGATGCTTCTGAACAGCAATAAAAACAGTTCTTTCAGTGCTCCTCGGAACTCAGAACTTTGACAGACGAACAACGCAAACACTATAATCATATTGAAACTAGTCGACACAAGAAACAAGTCCGTAAGCAAAGTTTGCATCAGAATCAGAATTTCAGGCTCTACTCTCAAATCAGATAGTGAAGTTTGTGAAGTTTTATGGTAATGTTTTTAATTTTCGCGGACTCTCAGAAAATGTGAAAAAATTAAGGAAAAAACATGTTAAAGAAGCTTTATGGTTGAAAAGTGTACAGTTTGAAAAAATATTCTACTTCAAAAAAAGGAAAACTCTCTGCCGCCCTCTTTATTGGGGGCATCTCAGTAACTTGATATTCAAAACTAGCCTGATAAGATAAGTCTCACAACTTGTAAAGACCCTCCAAGTAGACAGAGGTTTTCCCTCTTTGGTTTTTATCCTTGTGTGCAAAATTTTGTATTTATCCTTGTATTTTAAAATTGCTAGCATATTTTGAATTTTTGCACAATAAGTTTAAATTTTTCAAAAAAAAATCATTGAAATAGGTTTCGAAATTGTTTTGAAATGGTCTTGATTACAACTTTTTCGTAGGTTTCAAGTTATTGGAAGTTTTCACTATCAGATAATTGATCAGTTTTTACCCAAAGCCTCGGCCCAAATCAGTCCAAGACCAGCAAAAAATCTGGTACCCAGTATGATATAAGATATGAAGGAAACAGCGATGAAGCTGACATTGCAAATCAGAACGCCAGATGTCAAGTTGAGCTCAGTTTTGGCTTCGATTTCATTCAAGTGGTTCATATCCAGAAGTGATTTGACCATAGCCCTGAATCAAAAGTTACAAATAATAGTCATATGAAACTCAACTAGCTAACTTCACTTAGCTAGATTCTCACGTATAATTTTCATCTTGAGTTTGATTTTAGTCTAAAAATAGTCATTCTTTGTTGGAAGCCATAGCAAAGCACCCTTTGGGTCAGAAAAATGTAACTCAGGTTCACGTTGAGCAAATTTTGGACGTTTTTGGACAAAAAAAGTTTTTTCAAGCACGCGCTGTATGGAATGTAAAAGCGCTTGAAAAAATTTAAAAGTTGCTTGATCAAAAAAAATTCTGAAGGGATTTTTTGATTGTTCGGGGGGGGGGGGGGTCGTATAACTGAAAGAGGGTGTAATCTTCTCCCAAATCTGTTACAGGGCGAAGTGTTTCTTCTCTACAAAAAGAGCTGCTACTCAAAAGTAGTTCGTTTTCCATACACAAGCTGCTGTTGAATTTTGGCCCGAAAAGTAACCAAAAAAAAATTTAAAAAACCGAATGTATAAAATTTCTAAGTACCTGCGATTTTTCACAATGATGAGACTGATAACTGTGGTAACAAGCAATAGTGCAGCAAAATAAACCGCTCCAACCAGCGCTGGTAATCGTTTCCAAACTTCCCGAGTTTCTTGATCTTTTGCTTCGCATGCATCGTTTTTCCTGTCGTAAGCTGCACGAAAAACCATCGACGAGCAAAGGATTATCGCTAGACCATAGTTTGCGATTGTCACTAGAACGGAAAGCCTAGGATTGAATTTTTTGAAGTTCATAGATTAGTTTGATAATTTTCAATTAAATACATTAGTGTTCCGAGTTTCAAAGAAGAAATATTTGTGCTCGAGTGGTTTTTTCATCAAGAAAAATCTTGAATAGATTTAGTAGAAGCTCTCGAATCAAAGCAGAACCTTGAATGATCCGACTGCCTTTTAACGGCCAAAGTTAAAATTTAAAGTTTTGGTTTTTTCATTTGTTAATAACATTTCCATATATTTACAAAACTTGCAAACTGAGTTGTGTTCTTAGGTCTAACTCATAGAGTAATTTCAGATAGGGTACACCGTCTGCTCGTCACGCTATCTTAATTTCGTGCAACTTCTTAGTCTAATAATACCGATCTTAATCTTACTCTTATATCTCTTAGTCTCAATCGATCTAGAGTATACTGGTTTTGTTACGAGTCGGTCTCTTGGAGAAAGCAACTAAGTTGTAAGTTAAATTCAAATCTCTCTGGTGCTGAAATTACAAGTAATTTCAGCACTTACAAATAAGTGGGTTGTTAGTTTGATGGAGTGTGATTGGTTAGTCTTTAATATTTTATAGGGATAAAATATCTAAATTATAACCAATAATAAATTATAGTTTGGATCTGGTTCCAAAATGGATAATTTTACGTTTTTAACGACTTTGAATTAAAATTTGATTAAAACGTTTTTTCAAGTAATAGCATTAAGTTTTGTGGCTTACAGCAGCTCTGTTGCTCCCAGTTTGGATCTGTTTTTTTTTTGTTTCAATTACTTTCAGCTCTTTCCGGGTTGTTTTTGCATTTCATGGACCAACAGTTAAGAACTGATTCTTAAAAAAGAACGCTTGAAAATTTTAGCGTGATTATTATAGAAAGTGTAACTTTGATGAGACAAAAAACTCACCAATTAACTTTCTGCAGCTGAAAAATGAAGAAACTTGCACAACTAAAAATGTTAAAGAGAGCATTCAAAAACCCTTTTGCATTGAAAATTCACGATGTTCAAATACTGTTTTTTAAAGCACACACGGTTAAAATTACACAAGACAATGATAAGAAAAAGTTGCACTATACACCCCCAAAAAGATGAATCTAACCCACAGACAAACAATTCCAGGCGAAACCATATTCAAGGCTCTTCAAGTTGTGCTGCGACAAAAAAAAATTTCGAAGAAGATTTTTTTTCAAAGAAGAAGCAATCAAACATAGATAGAAAACGAAGCTGACCAGCGAGATTCGGTTTTTTTGGCCCCAAACACTAAGTCCATAGTTTAAGAAAAAGTATCAATTTAAGGAGAATTTTAAGTAGTCCATATTTTTTTGGTGGGTGAAAGTTCTATTCAAATAAAAGGTCCTTGATTTGAAAATAAGAGCGTCTCTCCACAAAGTAACTCAATCTGGAATGTGGAAAGATGATAAAAACTGACTATGCTTAGACAGGTCTGATGGCATTTCATAGATCCTCTGCGTATCGCAGAAACCACAATTAACTGAAGTTCTTCTTACCTATTACAGGGTATCGCAAGTTGTACATCAAATTGTTACGGTACCAGACAAACTTTTTCAGAGTTAGGTATCGATCGACTGTCATTATGCACATCTCACTTTGAGCAGCGGCAACCCCAGCTAAACCAAACCATAGAACAATTTTGCACGCAACGTCAGATTTTCGGAAGTGAAGAACCCTGAAAAATTCATTCTGCAATAAACATAAATTAATTTAAAAACACCTTTATAGGTAATAGTATAATAATGAAAAAAACTTTATAGCAAAAGGGGAGAAAAGTGATATCATAAATTTGATCTTCGTAAAATGTTCAGGGGTTAATCCAGGATGTTATTTCGTGAAAGGCTTCTCTATAACTTCTGAGAAATTTATCAATTTACTTTTCAAGCTCGCGCAAATTATCAAAAGTTCTAACATAACCTAATTTTATCAACAGCGCCAACGGCATTTTTTGAAAAGAAAAACAAAGTCCAAAAATGACGTTTTAGGGCAACTTAAGGAACGTTTTGACCAAACATTTTTTTTTCAAGCCGACATATCAGCGAAACAAAAATGAGCAGAGTATGTAAGCCAGCCAAAGGTTAGGACAATGGGATTGAAGTGTGCATGATTTTCTAAATTGTTGTTAAATAATTGTTTTTTAGTGTTTTTTGCAAAGCTCAGTAATTTTGGCTGATATACATGGCACCTGAATTGACTTAGGGTTTGATTATATAGCTCTCTAAAAACGCTCAAAATTTTATCTCTAATTAGAAAAGTTCAAAAAAGAAAAAGGTATTGAATGAAAACCATTGTTATTCAGAAAAAAAAATAAAGAGTATTTTGAAATAAAATTGAAAAAAAAAGAAAATTATCAATTGTCAAAAAATTGTGAAAGGAAAAAAAATGAAAAACCAATTGTAAAAATCAGCGTCAGGGTACCTTAGAAAAACGCAATATTACATTTTGGGGTGGTTTCTTTATGTAAACCTTTTAAGTTTTTAGCTAACTGTTTTTGACGGGTTGTATAACAATATCGAAGTTATCGATGTGCTGAGCTCACATGCAAATGTATATTTCAACTATGATCATCTGTACTGAAAATAAAGGTGTTGAAAACGGCCATTTTGGCTAAATTGAAACAATTTAAGTGCAAAAACTTCCAGTTTTCTGTTATTGCGGAACAAATGCGGCAAAATATTCCAGCTCAAAAACTGACCCTTTCTCTTTCCCTCACCAGAGTTTCCAGGTGAAGTTTTTTTCAGATTGTGAGATTGATTCGAATATTGATATACGTACTAATGAAGGCGTGAAAACAACATTGGCTCTTTCCCGGGTCGAGGTCCCAGACTTATGTCCAGACTTTTAGGGTCGAGTCCGATCCAGATTTAGACCCAAATTGCATAGTCGCGCCCAGAGTTTGAGTCTGGAAAGTCTGGACACGAGTCGCGACGTGGGCCGTGAAAGTCTGGACTTGTCAAAATTTGGTCGCGAAATTCTGGACATGGGTCGCGAAAGTTGGGACATACCAAATTCTGGTCGCGAAAGTCTGGACATGGGTCGCGAAAGTCTGTGTCCAGACTTTCGTGACCCATGTCCAGACTTTCGCGACCCATGTTCAGACTTTCGCGGCCAAATTTTGGTATGTCCGGGCTTTTGCGACCAAACTTTGGTATGTCCAGACTTTCGCAGCCCACGGTGCTACTCATATCCAGACTTTCCAGACTCAAACTCTCGGCACGACTATGCAATTTGGTTCTGAACCCGGATGCGGCGCTACCCTTGGCGCGACTCATGTCCAGACTTTTCACACCTTATGTCCAGACTTTGCAGACTCAAACTCTTGGCGCGACTATGCAATTTGGGTCTAAATCCGGATGCGGCGCGACCCTTGGCGCGACTCAAGTCCAGACTTTCAGACCTTATATCCAGACTTTGCGGACTCAATCTCTCGGCGCGACTATGCAATTTGGGTCTAAATCCGGATGCGGCGCGACGCTTGGCGCGACTCATGTCCAGACTTTCCAGAACTTATTTCCAGACTTTGCAGACTCAATCTCTCGGCGCGACTATGCAATTTGGGTCTAAATCCGGATGCAGCGCGATCCTTGGCGCGACTGATGTCCAGACTTTCCAGACCTTATGTCCAGACTTTGCAGACTCTAACTCTTGACGCGACTATGCAATTTGGGTCTAAATCCGGAAGCGGCGTGACCCTTGGCGCGACTCATGTCCAGACCTGCCAGACCTTATGTCCAGACTTTGCAGACTCAATTTCTCGGCGCGACTATGCAATTTGGGTCTAAATCCGGATGCGGCGCGACGCTTGGCGCGACTCATGTCCAGGCTTTCCAGAACTTATTTCCAGACTTTGCAGACTCAATCTCTCGGCGCGACTATGCAATTTGGGTCTAAATCCGGATGCAGCGCGACCCTTGGCGCGATTGATGTCCAGACTTTCCAGACCTTATGTCCAGACTTTGCAGACTCAAACTCTTGACGCGACTATGCAATTTGGGTCTAAATCCGGATGCGGCATAACCCTTGGCGCGACTCATGTCCAGACCTGCCAGACCTTATGTCCAGACTTTGCAGACTCAAACTGTTGGCGCGACTATGCAATTTGGGTCTAAATCTGGATGCGGCGTGACTCTTGGCTCGACTCATGTCCAGACCTGCCAGACCTTTTGTCCAGACTTTGCAGACTCAATCTGTCGGCGCAACTACCGCATTTGGGTCTAAATCCGGATGCGGCGCGTCCAGATTTATTTCCAGACTTTGCAGACTCAAACTTTTGGCGCGATTATGCAATTTGGGTATGAATCCGGATGCGGCGCGACTCTTGGCGCGACTCATGTCCAGACTTTCCAAACTTTATGCCCTGACTTTCCAGACTCAAACTTGAAAATTTTACCAGGTTTTTTTTGAAAATCTGCGAATTGCGAGCGCTTCAAAACAAAACATTCAAGATGTAAGAATAACATTCAAGATGAAATTCAATTTCATGATCAAAAAATGACTCAGGAAAACCACTCTGTCTCCAATCTGAAATGGAAATCCCCGCCGTATCCATCTCGGTCGCGAGGAACTAATTCTTGGTCGCGCCGTCTCCGCCTCGGTCCGAAAAGTGGCGCCGTCTCCGCTATGGCTTGGAAAACCGTGCCGTCTACAACCTGGCCTGAAAAATCGCGCCGTGTCCCTCTCGGTCTCCAGGAAGTGTTTCTTGGTCGCGCCGTCGCCATCCTTGTCTGGAAAATTGCGCCGTCTCCACTCTAATTGCGAAAGCCCCGCCGCATCCGCTGCGATTGCGAAGAATTTGTTTCTTGGTCGCGCTGTCTCCGCCTTGGTCTGGAAAATTGCGCCGAATCCGCCTTGGTCTGAAAATCATGCCGTCTCTACCCTGGTCTGGAAAGTCGCACCTTATCCACCTCAGTTGCGAGGATTATAATCTTGGTCGCGCCGTCTCCGCCTCAGTCTGAATAGTCGCGTCGTCTCCGTCTTGGTCTGAAAAGTTGCGCTGTCTCCGCCTTGGTCGCGAGGAATTGATTTTTGGTCGGGCCATCTCCGCGTCGGTCTGGAAAGTCGCGCCGTTTCGGCCTTAGTCTATAAAATCTCGCCGTATGCGCCTTGGTCTAGGCCGTCTCCACTCTGATTGCTAAAGTCGACATCCACTACGGTCGCGAAGAATTGTTTCTTAGTCGCGCCGTCTCCGCCTTGGTCTGAAAAGTCGCGCCGTCACCGCCTTGGTCTGGGAAGTCGCGCCGTCTCCGCCTTGGTTTGAAAAGTTGCGATGTCTCCGCCTCGGTCTGGAAAGTCGCGCCGTGAGTCTGGACATACCAAATATGAGTTGCGATGTTTCGGTCGCACCACCTCCGCTTCGATCGCGTAAGTCGCGACGGATCATCATGGTCGCGGAAGTCTGGAAAGGCCAGATTTTGATCGCCAAAGTCTGGAAATGCCTAATATTG